CCACACCCAAGCAGAAAGTGACTGCTCCAGGCTCGCTCTTCTCCTTGCTCCTGTCTCACCGTCTCCCCTTACTGCTCCTGTTCCCATCCCCTGCGCCCCGTTTTCTCTCAATCCCACTACTTTCTGCGGGAGTCCAGCCCCAGCACCTCTTCTAACCACTGCATCTATCAATGATTCCACCTGAGCACTAACAAAGTGGAAAAACTGGCTCAAAATTAACTTGTTTCTTCCATTTATCTATTCATCTGACATCTTGCATACGTATCAGCTGTGCAACACAGCCAACCACCTTTTGACTACGCAGAATCTGGTGAGTCCTCATGCCATAAATTTTGACACAGCCAACCAGACCCAATTCTCCCCTCCCTTACACCAGTGATCTCAAACAACAGGATTTGGCTCTGTGATAGATCAGATAATGGTAAAAAAAAAAATAGTTGTCACTTCAAGGCAGTTGAAATGTTTGAAATGCCACAGTTTGCCGTGGCATAAGTTTTATCTCCTTTTTCATCCATACCCTGCCCAGAATCAAATCCAGCACTTTGAATCCAAGTGAAATTCCCCTCCTTTGGCCTGGATCTAGGATAGAAGTTAACCTGACCTGAGCAAAACACAAAAAACGATTTCAAATAGTGACCGAATGATGATGTTCACCTTCACAGAAAGTCTGGGCAGGCAAAATGCTTCATGTCCACCATTCTTCATGGCATATTTCACTTCATGAAGCTCAGCACCATTCAAGAGGGACTTGCTTCACCCCAGGACCAGGTTTTTCTGCTTTCATCCTCCTTATAGTGGTGTAACAGAGAAGTAAAGGCTGCTTTCCTACACATAATCGCAGTACGATTGATCACCTCGATCACCAAATCCAGGTATAGATGGTGTTCAGACGTTTTCCCATCTGTACCAGCTCATTGTAAAATCAAAACATAGACCTGGTTCTCTCCCCGCTGTATTTCTTTACATCTCCAGTCTCCTCCGTCTTCTGGTTTACATGGCAAGCAGACTCAAGCTCACTGCACGGATCTGCACACAGAAATGCCCTATTTGAATTTCCATCTGTCAATAACATTAAAGCAGAACCACCACGGCAATTACAAGTGTACACAATAATCTTGTCGTCCAGTGTCTTTAGCGCATCCCAGAATGCATTAAGATAGTGCCAGGAGAGATTCAGCTCTGTTGGCTCAGCTGTAAATCTGCAATCTGTACAAAAACACCCAAGTGTCAATCAAAAGACGTTCCTGCTCTACGCGTGGTTCACAATGCATAATTTAGCTACTACGCTTGTCAGGTTCTCCACACTGCTCTTCTACCCGACGGTAAATGTGTTCATGAACCCAACTGTCATCAACAAAGGAAAACAGAACATAGAAATAACAGGCTAAAGGAGGCAAGAGACCTCTTTTCCTTTCACAGTTAAAGGAATTGCTAGTAAGGGAAAGTTTAGTTAGACTTTAATTTTTAATGCTCAGTGGGTAAAACATCCCAAGGGATGGAGGATGTTGAAAAGCAATCGCATCGGCTGTGTGCTGAGGAGGAGGACAGCGCTTGGTTAAGACATAGGAGGGGATAAAGGCTGTCCCTGTTTCCATGCAGGCTAACATAATGGGGAAATTTTCACCAACTGATGGGAAGTCTGTGTTACATCCCACCCCTATAGCGCAGAAAACAAACCCTACTATACCACCACAGCCTTGCCACTGTCAAGGAACTTTGAAGCACGTTGTCCTTCCTCATATGAATTACAATTGCCGAGGGGCCTTGTCAGAAAGGATGAAAATTTCACACTCAGCTACGTCAGGCAGGAGCTACCCACTGGTCTACACCACAGTTAATATGCAATAAAATAGAAATCTCTGTCCCAGGACGTGACTTTAGAGCTGATCAGTGCCAAAGCTACAGACCATAAGGACAGCTTCACACTTGCCTCAGCTAGTTCATGAATAAACATCCAATTCATTCAAATGAGTTCTATATTAACTAATTTAAATAATTTTCATTTTGCTTTGAATGGTAAACAGATCTATTCTGCCAGGATAGTTGAGTTTGCAATTCAAATTACACACCGATTTGTAATGAGAAAAATATAATTAATGGCAAAGCTTGAAGTAACTACAATTTTACTCCTTTGATTTCCTGCAGGGAAGGAGGGGGTGGAGTGTGAAGCTTGCAGGCACACAGGCACTCACACCGTGTCCTTTCGTAAGCCAATACCTTTTATTGAAAACTCAAGTATTTGGCTTGAGTGGTCCTATTCTAGTGCACTGCACCATAATGTCACAGGAGGACATAACATGACTTGACATTTTACTCACAGGCACCATGATGCAATACTAACGTCACCCAATAAATAATCATGTAACAGTCTGTAAATTAAATGAGTTCCTTCTATTGGGATCATAAACAACAATTATTTGGCAGCTGCCCCTTAAAAGCTCCATGTGTAGTGAACAGTAAATCAAGCTTTATTGATTTGCTAAACTGAACCGTCCCATTTTTTTCACATCTCTCTCCCTCCTAATGAAATTCTTTGTCCTATCACTCCGGACCATTCTTCTCTGGCATCATATTTATAAGATGAGCGCTGATCAGTCCGATCTGATTCGTAAGCAGAACCAGACCATTGTCGCAGTGCTGGTATTTTGTCCGTTAAACAAGTCCTTCTTAGCAGATCTGCGTTTTAACCAAAGCCTTCAGCTCCTGATTAAAATCAAACCCTAATGACAGATAACTGGCCCTGGCCATGCTGCTTGCATGGTCTTGCCAACAGATATCCTCATTGTAATCAAGATGTGCAGAATCAGGCCCTTAGAAAACAAGTCCACGCAATTTGAAGCTGGCTTTCGTTTCTTCCAAAGGTTTGGCAACAAAATAGTGTGCAATGCTAAAAAGGCAAAAAAACCTCCACGGAGTTCACAGAGAACATCACTTTCTCTATAACCGATGCAAAATCTAATCCTGCAGGCTTCACCAGCTAAAACTCTCAGCGCTCCAATGAAGTTTGGCTCGTTAAGATACATTCACTGATCAGCAAAGCAATTAAGCACAGGACGAACTCCAGACATCTGCATACAAGTCCAGTACTCACAAGCTACTTTGAAAAGCTGGTCAGAGCTCAGTTCTCCCTACGGAAGACAAAGGGCACTCTTGAAAATTCAGGTTCTACCCTGTGGTGTCCCAATGGGAGCTCTGATCTTTTGGAAACCCACCTTTGACCACGGGCTGACCCTGCGGGCAAACACCCAGAGGAGTTTCATGATTTATGAGCACATTTAGGACCTCTCTCTTTTCCAAGTGAGACAAGTCCTGAAGGCTCAAATCCTCCTGGGCTTTTTAGATGCCTCATTCCAAAATACGACTCAAGCTCTTAAATGCTTAAATCTGTTTTGAAATTACAACCTACACATTTAATTTATTCTTTCTGAAAACTATACTAAGACATATTTAACAGAACTGAGAATGGGAGTGAGGAAAAAAAAAACCCACAAACCAACAACAAAACAGGGCAGTTGCCCAAATTTAAGACCCTGGTATACAGTTACATCACCCAGGCAGAGGAGAAAGGCGGTATGATGCACTGCACATTTGCAGTCATTCAAGCAAGACAATTCAGATGAAGTAGCTACAACCCAAAGAGCAGATTCCAACATTTCCATGAAAAGTGGTTGCCTCCGGTTATAAGACAATCGTTATTTTCTATTACAACAGTCGATAAGATCTCTTACCCCTTGACCCTCATATTTTGAGATTTAGTTTACAGCACTGTACACCTTTCTGGTAACATTGATTATAATCCACGTAATAAAAGGTAGTTTAAGAGACCAATAAAACAAAACACCTAACCCCTCTCACATCAGCTTGATTTACTAGTGCTAAGCCAACAGATTTCTCAGTCATATTTGTCTTCAAGACTACTTTTTTTTTTTTTAAGCAATCAATCCTCTGTTTATTCAAAATACACAGACCAGAACAAAAAGATAAGTTTAGTTCAGAGTTCGGCATATGCAAGGCAGGAACGTCAGCTCTGATTTAAAGACCGTGTCTACAGCTCACTTCAGTGGGAAGTCAGGTAACACCTATCCAGGAGAAATCACATATGGCACACAACTGGCACATACACTTTTTCCAGTGGTCACATGTAACAGAAAGCAAAAGAATAACTTCAGCAGCAGAATCCTTAAATGAGACTTTTCTTAAACACATGCACAAGCTGGAGGCTAAATGTTCATCTCGTCTTCCCTTGATCCAGAATAAATGGGATATATGGCAGGAATACGTATGAGTTACAGTGACAAGTATGCCCCTGCTTGGAGCTACGCAGTGGTAAGGATACACAGCTGTTCTGTTGATGTACATAGCCAAAAAAAAACCATTTTTCTTAAACACTGGGGATCAAACTGTATTATTAAACTGTTCCACATGGGCCACTCGGTAACTTACAGCTCTTCCATATACATTTTGTGCACCCAAGAGCTGATAATTGGGACATGCCCTAACCTACGTTGACCGAATTTTGCTACCTTTAATCACATGTATTTACCACTGGCATCAACAGCTGCAAGAATCTGGCAATGGAAGGTTTTACACTTTCAGGGCAAAACACTTGAGCGCACAGCCAATTTCTGATTTTGGTTACACCCAAACTGATCTTGCTTAGTTTGTTCTCACTCTGAATTTCACCCTTCTTTCCTACAAGAACAGGACAATTTTCTCCCATAACTGAAAATCACAGCTTTACAATTTAGCAGTAACTTTCCTTGTTAAGACAGCTTCCTATAGAAGCGCCTTCTGTTGTTACCAACTAGAGTAAAAATGCCTTTGCTAGAGGCTGACTGGCAAACTGAATCACCCATTGACCCGTGGGGACCTGACCCTGACTGCATCACCCAACACCAGTTGAGGGTCATGGAGTACCCATTCCAGATCAACTGGAAGTCTGGAGATTAACCACCAGCCCAATACTAGAGCATGACCCTAACAAAACACACAGAACTCACCATCTGGAGGCATCAGGACCTTGTTATTCTGTGTACACCAGCCAACTGGGTGAAGATCTGCTGTCATCACGTCACACCAGAAATCCGCCCTGCGGTCATCTCCATAGCCACAGTAACGAAGCAGTAAGAGCTGTCCACATGTTGTAATGATCGTAGCCACCCAGTATGTGTCCGGATTGCTCTTGTTGGCCACTTCTAATTTCATCCCTGGTTGGAAACTGCTTTGAAGGCTGATTTCAACCTTACAGAATGAGAAAGGCATGGTGTTACCTTTTCTTCCTTGCAAGGCGAACCCCCCCCTCCCCAGCTAAGCAAGATAATGTCACCCTTGAAGAGCAGCTCTGGGATAGAACATGAGCTGATTGTGCTCCTTAATCCAACCACCTCCTTCACAATCTGTCATTCCTACTTCATTGGCATATACCCCATCATGCAAGGTCCTGCATGCTCTAAAGAGGCCCTCCAGCAGCAGCAACCTCAGCTGCAGTGCAACTCAGAGAGGACTGCTACCCATCTTAAATGGGTCATTTATCATCATCATAAATCTCACTAATGCCTGGGAAAAGGTAGTATAACTCAAGTGAAGTTGCATTTCCCACTGCACAGCTCCATCAGGCAAATCGCAGGACACATGCAAGGTAGAAAGGCAGGTTCTAAGCACCCCTAGGAGTTAAACCCAACTATAATAATTAGTCCTATTAACAACACTGAAGCACCTTTTGAGAGGCTTGACAAGCATCAAAGCCTGAATGCTGTACCAGTCAGACCAAGGAGAGCATCTCCACTAAATCCATACCCAGCAGCTAAGCCTCAACCAATTTGCTGTCCCAGCACCCTGGTAAGGTATGATGATCCATCGCTGAAAGAAGCAAATGGTTTGAATCGCTGTCTTGCCATCGGATGGAGACGTCGCTTCCATTTATCTCGCCAGTGACGGGTCACATGTAAATTCCCTTAGGACACTGGAGATGGAGACTAGGACACTACCGGGACCGCTGTTAAACGCTAGGGCCTGCTGTGGACACATCATATGGTATCTTCCAAGGGCCAGTGGGATGTCTCTAGCTGCTGTTGATAAAGAAGTGGATGCTGGTCCACTGGTTCAGGTGCCAGACTTGTCTTCAGAAGACCAACCAAAACGTAGCCTGTTACTCCCTATGAGATGCTTAAGGACAGGTTCTTACAGGTTGCATAGTACCTTATCTCCTACTGAAACTGGAGACTATAAAGCCTGGTTTAAGCCTGTCTCTGATTAACTTCTCCTTTAAATGACAGGTTAAAATGCCTCTTTTACCCACAAATACAAATATAACACGGTCTACTTGGCCACCTGAGGACTTTGCAGACTCGGGGATGCCAAGATGCAGAGAAAACGCTCCCCTGGCATGTCAGCAGTTCTCCCTTACTCATCCCACTCCAGCTTATGCCACGAGTGCTGCCCAGCCAAAGCCATTTATTATTTGCAGGTAACAACACTCCATGTGCCTTTACTTGTGTGGGCATCTCCATCAGCATCAATGCCTGGAGTCATGGAATAGCTGAGGTTGGAAGGGACCTTTGGAGATCGTCTAAGATTGAAGAAGGTCTGTGACGCTTACTACTTTACATAGTGGTAAGATGGAACTTCAGCTTTTGTGATGATAAGGGTCCTCATAAATAATTCAGGATACACGTTCATTTGTAGTTTTTCTCCTTGCACTCACTGTAAGTAAAGACCAAAGTGGTACTCTGGAGGCAAGGGACTTGTGACTGGAAATCACATGAAGACTGGAATCAAACAGAGAGATAATATAATCTTCTCTGATGGCCTTCAGGTTCCTGTCCAAGCCAGGGTTTTTTGAGGATCAATTTTCAGATTGTGAAGCACAGTCACTGAGGACTGTTGCCAGTACTAATTTGTCTCACAACAACAATCCCAGGATTGAGGTGCTGGTGAGACACCGCAATCAGCAGGATCAGCAGGACGAGGAGGGCATCTCCAGGCACCTAAAGACATCCTTAAGGGCTTCATGAAGCACAGAACTTTCACCTGGATCTGGTATTCGGGTTTGGCCCTGGAGCAGAAACCTGGGACAAGATGGTCTCTCCAGACAGCTGCTGGATCAAGGACAAGCTCTACAATAAGCATTGCCCTGTAATTCTCCAGTATAGAGAATTATGGTCCTTCATCCTGCAATACTCCACTGTTGTTAAAATGGAAGCAAAATAGGGAATGGAGGTTTGTGGGGGTTTTTTTTTTTCAGACGTAGATGGAAGAGAGGTTTTTCATCACTGCAGCTCCTTATCCCTTCAAAACAAGCCAAGAAATCACCTGGAGACAAAGGTGGTTTAATGGCATGACAGCAGTCATCCAAATAAAGACTTCTCTTAAAGCAGCAGCAGGTTCTTCAGGAAGCTTTCTCACTGCGGCACAACTACACTGTTCCCAAAGGACACCTCTGCCAGCAAACAGACTCAGTGTAAGACAACCCAGAGCACCACAACTAAAACCCCTCTCTTCCAGACGAAGATGTCCACGTCCTCCAGAGCACGCAGACCAGCCGAGTGAAGCTGGCAGAAGAGCCAGCGCGACTGGTGAGCAGCTGTAGCAGAACAGGCAGCTACCTGCATCTGATGGGTCGGGTAGGAGGATGAGCAGCACTATCCTCATGGGACTTGCAGCTGAGGACAGAGGACCACCATGACTTGCCGTGGCTTGACACAGATGAGGGCATCACAACACCTTCCCACTAGGCCCCGACATCTCCAACAGCACAGTCTTGTGGTTGAATGACAAAAGATATCCTGGAAAAATTTACCGATGTGGCCGCACGTGCACGTCCTTGACTGTGATGAAGAACTCATATACATCAGCTTCATTTTGGTCCCATGTTCTCACGTGACATCACACGCAGGGAGCTGAATAGAAGAGGTTAAACAACTGGTGGTGGATGTAGAAGCTGGTCCCAAACAACAATATCCTTGACTGTGATGGGCTCTGCTTGGAGACGGAGTCCTTTCTTCAAAGCATGCTCTCATCTTCATCAGTCAAGATTTCAGACGCTCTGAATGCTACTTGCGCTAACATGGACCAGAGCCACAGACCATGCTGTCATACCATGGCTGTCTACATCAGCCACGTTCACCCAGAAGAGCATCACCTACCCAAGTACTTGGTTCTCATGCTTCTGAGACAGCATCTCCAGGCAGGAGGCTGAGAGATGGTTTCCTACGGGCCATGCGGGGTGACCCTGCTGGTCAGTAAATCAGGCATTAAGAGGACAACTTTGGAGAAATAAGGTACTCTTGTGGGATGAACCTCTACAGGTTGTGATGGACAGCAATGAATAGAGAAGAAAAAACAGACAAAGAGAAATGAGTGCATTATAAGCAAAAGAAGAGCAACAGAAGCCCTCAAAAATGGAAAATTTGAACCCAAGGCAGAGGATAAGGCAGTGGCATAGACAGTGCTCTGAGCTGTGACTGCAGATGATGCAAACACACCGAGTTCACCTAACACCAGATGGGGGCCATTCCTACGCAGGTTGCCACACGCACAGAGGGACAATTTCTCTCCAAAATGGTTAGACCCCACTTCAGTTCTCCAGGGACCCCTGAAAACCAGAAGAGGGAATGCGTGCAATGCCCACGAGAATCAGATGAAGCACGTACGTGTTTGAAGGAGGTGTGGGGAGCAGCACTGGCTCCTGTTTCCTCCAGGAACTCGTCCCAGTTGAAGTCTGTGTCCTCAATGCTGGAGCCCTCATCTGTTCAAAAGCAAAAAAAAAAAAAAAAAAAAAAAAAAAAAAAAAAAAAAAAAAAAAAACACAAAAAAACACACAAAAA